TGGATATTCATCAAGTTTTAATGCTTATACATTTGCAATGCCTAATTGACTTAATTCTTAATTTAATTTAATACATCAGTGTAATGCTGTTTATGAGGAGAAATGCCAGTGAAATATATCTACAGTTCAAGAATGCATTTAAGAAAACTTTCCATTTTGATTGTAAACAGCCAAACAGGCATATTTACGACAGATAATTTGTTCCTAATTTAATTGAATGCATCAGTGTAGTGAATGAAATCCATCCAAATTTCAAGAATGCATTGAAGAAAAGCTGACATTTTGAACAGCCAAACAAGTGTTATGACAGATATTCATCAGGTCCCAATGCTTCTACATGCGCAAAAAACAACAACAAAAAAAACCACTTGCTTTATTAATTTAATGCATCAGTGTAATGCCGTTTATGAGGAGAAAAGTCAATGAAATCCATTTCAATTTCAAGAATGCATGGGAGAAAAGTTTCCATTTTAAATGTGAATCCTCAAACAAGCATGTTCCAATGCTTCTGCATGTGCAATACTTACAAATCTTGCTTAATTCATTCTCACATTCAGCAGGGAATTACAACCAGACCTTGAAACAACCTTTAGCTTTATTATCAGGAGAATCCAGCGGTTTATTAATCTATTGCTTTTTTTTATTACAAATGAATTCTCACATTCAGCAGGGAATTACAACCAGACCTTCATCTAGAAACAACCTTTAGCTTTATTATCAGGAGAATCCAGCGGTTTATTAATCTATTGCTTTTTTTTATTACAAATGACCTTTCATAGTAATATCTTAATTGCTTAATTAAGTTGGCCTATAAACCTGCAACAGTAAGCAATATTATTAAAGATCAGCCTTTCTCTGGCACACAATATTCATTCTTTTCTTTCCTTTTCTTTGTTAGGCTTAAGTACTAAAGCAGACGCTGTCGAGCTTCGCCTCGGGAGCTGATGAAAAATCTGGAGTGACTTAAAGCTCTCGACTAGATTATAATATAATATAAGAACTCAAACGTTCAGAGTCTTCCTTCTTGTGCAGTTCCACACAGCAATCGATCAATAAATCAACAAGAGCAAAAACTTTATAAAGAGATTTGACTTCAACGACCTCTAGATGATGTATTCAAAATCTGCGCACACCATCACAACAAAAGCCTATTTATAACATCTGCTTTAAGTGCTCAAATAGAATCATAAAAACAATGCATGATGTGTAGAAACAAGATGATGACCCATAATGCACCACTGAAAGTTATCCGACTCCATGTCACCTTCAGATGCTTTTACGACTTAATGGAACAATTACGCGCTAATCGCTGTGCGTTTAGGTAATTGATTGTTTTAAAGCCCGAAGGCTCTTGTATTACTGACGCTGTGCGCTTTAATAGAGAATCCGATAGAGATGTGCGCATGCTGAAGGCAGCGGCCCGAAACGCTACACAAACACAATCGAACGGCACACGACGCTTCAGGAATAATAACCTTTCTGCAGCTTGTTTACATGATGATGTTGGAAAAGAACAGCAGTGAGTGTCAGTTAGTCGACTGGAGAAAGCATGGCTGGATTTTTGGAGGGAAAAACATTTCAAATGTATCGTCAGAAATTCCTAGAGAAACAGTTGTTTTCTCAGGAGTAACATAAGTAAAGATCTCAGTTTGAGTGCTATAGGAGAAACATTTGAGATATTAGAGATCCAATTTATGAATTTAGTATTTCATTCCAGCTACACATTTATAAAACGATGTTTAAACACTTTTAGAAAGATATGCAGCAGATGCTGGATTTCAATAAATACAGGCCATGATTTTATAAACGTATCAATTACAACATGACACGTAAACTAAATAGATTTGTGATTAATGAGACTTTTGTTGTACATTTCATGTATGTTCTATAAGTAAAAACAAACAAACAAATAAATGTTGCCTTAGCAATGAAGTGAAATAAAATAAAATAAAGCTGAAGAACTGAAGTAAGAGCTGAAATAAATCGAAATAAAAACCTAAAAAAAATGGCAATAGCACATAATAAAATTACAAAAATACAATTAAAATAAAATCGGAAAATATAAAAAATAGAAGCTAATTCAAAATATTAATACATTTCATTACATTAAAAAAATATTAGATGAATAAAGTTACAATTTTAACTTAAAAAAAAACATAAAAATAACAAACTTTATGAATTATATATAAAGAGAGAGAGAGAGAAAAAAAAACCTAACTCAATGTCATGTGCTCAGATTCATCAATATATCATAGTCTGCAAAAGTCTCGATATGAATTCAAATGTTTTCATTAAATTCCTCAAAATGTCTTAATTTCTGACTCATTTGTGTCTGTTTTTATTTCTCCAAAGGAATATTATGAGAAACATCTGTTAACGCTGAAATAACACATAACTAAGAAACCAATTACATTTTGTGAGCTATGAAAGAGCAACCTTTAAGCAATAAAATGTTCCTCCTGTTCAGTTTCATTTGTACCTGCATTTGGCAGCTGTTTTGCTCCATCTGGGAAATTAACGAGTGTCGTGTATCTCAGCTAACGATCCTGGACCATAAGCCACTTCTGCTATGAATATAAATGAAATAGAATTCATACAATCAGTTCAAATTTACTACAAAGATGAATATATTTTCAATGTTTGTGAAAGAGTTCTCACCAAGGCTGCAGTTATTTGATAAAAAATACAGTAAAAACAGCAATTTTGTGAAATATCATTGCAATTAAAAATAGCTGTTTTCTATGTGAATGCAAGGTTAAAATGTAATTTATTTCTATGATAAAAGCTGCATTTTCAGCATAATTACTCCAGTCTTCACATTCATTAAAAATATAAAACTGAAAAAAAAAACTATTTTCAAAGTTGATAATAAATAATAAATTAATTTTAACATACTGTATATTCACATAGAAAACAGTTATTTTGAATCGCAATGATATTTCATAATTTTACTGACGTTTTGATCAAATAAATGCAGCATTGGTGAGCAGCAGAGACTAAAACATGAAAAATCGGAATTATTCGAAACTTTTCAGAGCAGCTGATGGAAATAAATGGACGCTGACAGAATGTTTAACAAGCACCGTCTTATACTAGTACACATTTATTTACAGCGGTAAAGTACAGTTTTAACAGGTGTTCCAGTGGTAAGATCAGGATTCAGATGTTCTCCATCAACTAAAGACCTGCGACACACACGGAAGAAAAGAGCTTCAATCACCCAGAACAACAAAGCAAAATACTTTTCTGTTATGCATAGAGTATTTGAACAGAAACTCATCTGAATGAGACTGAAACACAGAAGCAGCTGGAAACAGTTCATGATTAATGTAACATTTTTCTCTTTTGTCATTTCTGGCTTAATGCAATGAATACAGTACTTCACATACTGTATGTGGAGTTCTGGAGAAAAAAAATAAAAAAAGATAGCAACAGATGTTTTCTATCCAGATGGTTTGTATGTCTTCACTAAAAAATGCAAAAGTACAAATTCATGTTTTTTTTTTTGTTGCAACTTCATAAGCAGGTGTGAGTGGTTTCATTGACATCATACAGGCTTTACAAACACTTTACAAAACTCTTTTCATTCCTAATGTTCTGGGAACACGTGTTATACAGGAACACTACATCATACGTCACACTCATGTATGTACAAACAGCAGTGAACCATAGTAAAATATATCAAATATAATAAGAACTAAAGTGGCTCGAGTGGCAAACGCTGCCTTTATCAACAACATCGACCAGAATCTCACGCTACACGAATATACAGACGCGAATGACTGACAGCGTGTGTTACACAATTAACATGTGTTCTTGTGGCAATACGTGTTGTAAATTATAATACGTTTCATTAATTGAAATAAAGCAAAAAATATATAAATATTAGATAAAAGTTTTAAAATTAAATTTAAATGTTGCCTTGGAGTACTAAAAGTACTAAAAATAAAAATAAAACAAAAATAAACACTGCAAAAAATTATTTTCTTCCTTAGTATTTTTGTCTTGTTTTCTTGTATGAATATTTACAAATTCTGGAATTAAGATGCATTTACTCGACAAGTAAAATGAGTCTTGTTTTCTGAAAAAATTATCCACATTTTATTAGTTTTTGCTTAAAACAAGTAAAAACATCTGCCGATGGGGTAAGAAAAATAATCTTGTTTAGCCTTTGAATTAAGATTATTTTTCTTACCCCATCGGCAGATATTTTAGCTTGTTTTAAGCAAAAACTAACACAATTTGGATAATATTTTTAGAAAACAAGACAACATATCTTAAGTTGTTTTACTTGTCAAGTAAATGCATCCTGATTCAAGAATTTTTAGATATTTTTACTAGAAAACAAGACATAAATACTAAGGAAGAAAATATTTTTTTGTAGTGCATATAAGATGCAAAACTTTAAATAAGCATAAATAAAAGCACATAATAAAATTACCAAAAATTACACTAAAATGAAAACTGAAAAATATAAAAACATAAATGAATATTAATAAATGTCATGAAATTGAATTAAAATATAAATATTATATTACAATTACAAAAACAAACTGAATTAGTAATATAGCTTTAGAAACTAAGCGAAATAAAATAAGTTTAAGCCAAAGTATTAAAACTAATAAAAATGACAAAATCAAAATCACATAATAAATTTGAAAAATGTAAACTAAAATTAAAAGGAAAACTGAAAATTATATATATATATATACTATATATAAACAAAATCAAAATATTAATAAAAGTTTTCCAGCTTAACTACTAGTCATGATGGACTAAGCCGTTTGAAGATAATCCTCCTGAGCAAATTAATTAAACTGTTGACATGTTCACAGCAGCTACCTGAAAAACGAATTAAAGCAAACTCTAGCAACACTGCGCTCACAAAGCGTCTGTCAAACATTCGCATCTTTGTTTGTGTATTCGCGTACTCATTCTCACATACACTCACACATGCACACATTAATCAGCATAAATTAATAAGAGCATTTCATCTGGCATCATGGCAGTTGAGCAAATCCAAACTACAAAGTCACTTTACTACAAAGTTTTGCCAGGTTTCTTTTGCGAAGTGACCCCTGCGTTTAAAACTCATGACGACGAAATGGAAAACGAGCTTCAGAATTCGACATACATAAGCCGCACCACCTAGTTCTCGCTGGACATGCCTGGAAAAATAGAAGAAATCCAATCCATCTGGATTCTCCCCATGGAAAAGTCCTACCAAAACATCGAAAAAGCCAAAAACCCATGAAGTCTCTAACACATTTAGATGAGAAGCCCAGAATCTGAAATCATCAAGACTATAGACACAACACAACGTCCCGCTGGGCAGAAAAAATCGGACTCGACATGCCTGGAAAGTAGAAGAAAGGTCTGGAAATTAATTTCTGAGATCCTCCACGGCCAAACCAAAAAAACATCAAGACGCAAACGCCAACCGAAAAGTAGCGCTGGAGTCATCGTGAATAGAAAGGACAGTAGATTTATCACAAAAACGCAGTCTCTGTTTGCATTTGAACATATTTACACACCCTTTTTTCTTATCTTTTCGTTTCTCTGTTATGATATTTTCTGCTTTCTGCATTTGGTCTGAGTTTGTTCGGGCTGGGATCGTCTCCGGGCTCCATTACGCTTTGCTGTCGTCCTGTTTTGTGTGGATGCTGTTGTCCGTGTGGACCTTGATCTCGATCAAGTCCGGCTTCAGCACCTCCTTGCCGTTCTCCTCCTTCAGCGGGAGCTTCCTGCAGTCAGAATCAGTGGCATTTAGTCACCATTCTCTCATCCGACATGCTTTGTGACACAAACGGGGCCGAGCGTCTGACAACAGAAGGACGTGACTTTGGAAAGGTCATGCATCTCATTAGCATGCAAATGTTCTACAACAACAGTCACACGACAAACTGAAAATGTAAGTGGCGTCTATACATCAGCTGATCATGTTGATGCAAAAAAATAGAGGCTAAAACTAACATTTTGCTACACCTGTCAATGGCTGGTGACTTCTAATTGACCCTTCGCAGGGAGTTTGATTGACAGGTGATCTGACCAATCATAACGCAGAATCTGCCATTGTTTTGCCCGACAAATAAACCAGTCAGGAGTGTAGATTAACGTTTGTGGACTTGAACTTGAAAAATGGTGTGTATTGACATCTTTGCACGGTTGAAATGAAGTATTTTGATGTTCATTCATGTTTATTTTGTGCTATAACTAGTAGTAAGAGACGATCGGTTCACATGCCGCTTGAACTGAGGCACTGTAGTGATCTGTCACGACACATTAAAGAGCCACAAAATGGTATTTATTGTTCAAATGTCTTAAAAAATTACAAAATTTGAAAGCTGAGACCTTGTTTCATACCAGAAGTTCTGCTTTGTCTTGTCTGTTTCCTCTTTGCGCCACAATGTATTTTTCACTGTGAGAACATGATTTGCGAATTGGGCGATCTGACCAATCATCATCGCCGAATCTGCCGTCTTGTCCAACAAACAAATAACAAAGAGTAGATTACAAAGTCAAACAAAGTCAGGAGAGTAGATTAAAGTGGGTGGACTTAAACTTAAAAAAATGTGTGTATTGATGTCTTTAAACGGTTGAAATAAAATACGTTCTGATGTTCATTCATGTTTATTTCGTGCTTCAAGTAAATATGAAAATAAATTGTTAAAATAAATTTTCAGAATTCCTTTTTTGGGCTGATGAACAATAAAAACATTGACAGCCAATCAGAATCCACTAAATTTAAACAGCTCGAGTATTTAAATGAAATGCGAACGTTTAATAAACAAAACATTATTGTTCGCTGGTGTGGACAGTAATATATTGTACGGTAGTTATTGTTATAGTTATCAATTAATGGGTCTTTACTAAAGTGAGTAAAAACATAACACTAAATCCTACTAAAAGTAACACTAAAGTAAACATATTTTTGAAAAGATTTGTGTTCAGATGACAACATTGTCAAAACGTTTCCCGTTCACACGGATCCACGAAAACAACTAAAAACACTGCATTATGCATGCCAGGCCAGTAGATGGCGATGCCGCTTTGTAAAGAAACATTATGCACCTTTCACAAACATGCGTTTTTTACACAGAGATGATATCGTTTTCAAAAACTTGCACTTTGAAACCCGTTGTCAAAAGTTTGCATTTTCAGGCCCCCAAATCACCATTGTCGCGTAAATGAACATCCAATAAAACACACAAAAAAGCTTTCCATTTTTAGTTTAAAAACACCCCCTTAGTCGTTTTAAGGGTTAATAAACAAAAAAAAACATATAAAATATAAAAGGAATATTAGACAAGACAAACTTTGAATTTTTGGCTTGATAAATCCTCACCTAAAAGGTTAAAAAGCCTTGAAATTTGAAGGTTGTGCAGACTTACGTTTTTTGAAGGAGATATTAGGAGTTTAGAGGTCAAATATGCCTTGAGCATTAGTAAACTGTTGCTAAGGCGTTCAGAGTGGTTGCTAGGACAGAACAGACTGAAGGACGGTACTGAGTTTCTTGGTTGTATTTTAACAGATCTAAGAGCGATTAGAGTCAAAGATTGTGATCTCGGGTACTGAACATAAACTACTGCTGAAAAGTTTGGGGTTGGTACAATTAATTATAGTGTTTATGAATTAAGGCACACCTGCTCACCAAGGCTGCATTTATTTGATAAAAATACAGTAAAAATTGTGAAATATTATTACAACTTCAAATAGCTGTTTTCTATGTGAATATCTGTTGAAATATAATTTATTCCTGTGATGCAAAGCTGTATTTTCAGCATCATTACTCCAGTCTTCAGTGTCACATGATCTTCAGAAATCATTCTAATATGCTGATTTGCTGCTCAAGAAACATTTCTGATTATTATCAATGTTGAAAACAGTTGTGCTGCCCAGTATTGTTTGTGGAAACTGTGATAGATTAGATTTTTCAGGATTCACAGATGAATAGAAATTTCAAAAAACAACATTTATTTGAAATAGAAATCTTTAGTAACATTATAAACGTCTTTACTGTCACTTTTGATCAGTTTAATGCGTCCTTGATGAAATGGTTAATTGATTAAACATCAATTGTAATGCTCCAAACAGCCTGTATTGTCTCTGACGCACTTCACATTTCAGCTCTAACTCTTACTCTGGCTCTGTCAGAGGAGTCGTCTCATTGGGTTCGTGCACTGGACAGCTGTCCTCCTGGTTAGCAATTCTCTCTTCTTCAGTTCTCATCTCCACGATGGGCTCCTTCGAGCCATCAACCCTACTCACACAAACACACATGCAGGTGTCCATCACACTGAAACACACACAGCAACACAAGTGCACACTGGGAATGTTCAGAATGGCACACTAACAAACAACTCAACTGCTATTTCAACTGTTTCACATACTTACTGTTTATCATTGCATAATGGTTTACATACTAATTTTACCTAGTATATACTGCATTAAAGGAAATGTTCAGGCAAAAATGAAAATGCGCTCACCCTCAAGCCATCCAAGATTAGGATGAGTGTGTTTCTTCATCAGATTTGGAGAAATGTAGCATTGCATCAGTGTCTCAGCAATGGATGCTCTGCAGTGAATGGGTGCCGTCAGAATGAGAGTCCAAACAGCTGATAAAAACATCACAATAATCCACAAGTAATCCACA